CTGCCTGAGACCCTTGAAACATTCAGGTGCAGCTGAAAAGGGGTTTGTCCCTTGTAGCAGGGGACAAAATCCACCTCTCAGACCTCCTAATATAATTACCCTCCCAATCCTGGTTTTTCTCTGACAACAGACACGGGCAATAGAAACAAGGACTTGGGGGACTTTTCCAGTTAAACTTGTAAAGGGATGACAAATGTCCTCTTGGTTTTTAAAAGCAAGTAGAGTCAGATGCTCAGATGCTGTGATGCATGAAGAAACTCTAATTTCAGTGAATTTACTAATTAAGTAAATGAAAACAACCCAAAATATTTAAGCTCCGAGAAATAGTAACTGCTCTATTAAAAATAGTGGAAAGATCATGATGTTCTTTTTCTCTGCCTTAATAGGATTGCTCTTTGTGGACTACTTTCCATGGGAAACTTCAGAGCTCTTGCTGTCTGATATTCAGTTAAACCTTCTTTTAGCTTTTCTGTTAGCCTTAAATGGATCAGCATTAATTTATTGACAGCCCTAAACAATCAAATTCCTTCTCAAGCCTTTGTGGAGTCTCAAACTTTGCTGTTTTGTGCTTCATCTTGCTGACCCATATATTTCAGAAGAGACCGGAGGTGGGATCATTCTGCCCAAATTTAGGTCCTCACAATGTGGATGCCAAGAATTCCTTTACACTCGGGGAGGGAAGCTGAAAGTTTAAAGCAGACAGCTAAAATAGGTCAGACCAAAATGCTTTCTTCATATGGCTGCTTCTCTCTGTTGACTTTATAAAGGGACTTGACAATGAGCTCATGTGTCTACTGGGTTTCTAAAATTAGGTGACGTGTCCTAGGTCACTGAAGGGTTGATTTCCCAACTCTGCTTGTTGCTGGCAAGTGTCTCAGTTGACACCAGGAAGGTGCACCCTGCCCAGTTTGTAGATTGCTACATTTGGGAACTTTGAGGAGGGAAAGAAATAAATGCCCTGGGTTGCACACCTTGTACTGAGAGCCTAAAGAACACAGATAAGGAATCAGCTGCATGTTGAAAGCCACCAAGTTGATCAGAGGGCTGGGACACCTCTCCTGGGAATTCAGGCTGAAGGAGTCGGGACTGCTCATCCTGGAGGAGAGAAGGCTCTGGGGAGACCTGAGAGCACCTTCCAGTGCCTACAGGGGACTGACAAAGGAGTGGAGAGGGACTTTTCACAAGGGCATGGAGTGAAAGTCAAGGGGGAATGGCCTTAAGCAGAAGGAGGGCGGGTTGAGATGAGATTTTAGGAAGAAATTCTTTGCTGAGGTTGGTGAGGCACTGGAACAGATTTCCCAGAGAAGCTGTGGCTGCCCCATCCCTGGAAGTGTCCAAGGCCAGGTTGGACAGGGCTTGGAGCAGCCTGAGCTGGTGGAAGGTGTCCTTGCCCATGGCAGGGGTAGGAACTGGGTGATCTTTAAGGTCCTTTCCAACCCAAACCATCTGATGATTCTGTGATAATTAACCTGTGATAATTAAGCTATAAATGACCATCTACAAACCCTGTGCCATAAACAGTTCTGGAGTTCCATTTCCTGGGGAGAAAATGGGAGTGACAAGGGAGTGTTCTGTGGGCCAGACCAGCTGGTGACATCTGGGGTATTCCCCTCAGCACCTTCCCACTTCTTCACCCAACAATTTTCCACCCATGTTTATTCTTCCTGGGGAAATATTCTTCATGTCTTTAGGAAGAACTGGAATAACTGTGCACTGAGTGATTGACTTCTCTGAAATATATTCAGTCTGCAAAAGCTCAGCTGATGCTGCACCTTGCCAGAACCTTTCTGACTTCCACACTTGTGCAGTACCTTGGTCCTGGTGCAGGAAAAGGATGTGGTGGGAGGCCCTGGGTAGACACCGAAGGAAGATGAATTAAGTGATAAATTACCATCTGATCATCAGTGGTCTAAGCCATTGTGGGTCAGCTTTGAAATTTCTTGGTTTCCTCTCAAACCACTGGCACACATCCCGGAGGACCACAATGAGGAGCCCAGAGCAGATGGTTTATTTTGGGTGAGATCTCAATAACAGCTCACAACTGCCTTAGAAAGCCACCAAAAATCCTCTTTCACTCATCCAACCTGAGGCTGCGAAACAGTTTTACTCATTATTTGATATGGTGACGTTTTATCCTTTTAGGGAGTGATTTATTGCACTTTTTATGCCTCTCTGGGAGTAGACACATCACACTTGGGAAGGACTCACTGTCTGGTTGTGTTGATGAGTGACATCACATTGTGCACTTGACACTTGTGGGCTTCTCATGGAAAATTGTCCTCACCAGCACCCAGAGTCCCTTTTTAGACAGAGGAAAGGAGTGGGCACTTGCAGCAGAATGGGTTTTGCCAGAGCTTTTCCAACCTGCCCTTCAAGAATCTAAGATACTTCCAGAAAGAATCTGCTGTGGTGTTTACAGTGGACAAATGAATCCACTGAATTCACCTTCATGGTGACAAATTATCTTCTTAAGTCATTAGTTGACCAAAACAAGGCTTTTTTTTTTTTCTTTTTTTTAAATTCTTCTTTCTGTATTTCAGCCATGCTTGAAATAAGCCCCTGAAGCCCACTCCATTTTAGTAACAATCAACTGATTTTCAGATTCTCAGACACCTCAAAAGCCCTTCTGTTTCACCAGAGATAATGGGAGATTATTTTGGGGGAACTATATATCCATAACTGAAAGGTGTGTTGGCTACTCTGACTTCACTAATTTTAATTACAGTGGCAGAAGCAGCTAAAACAGCAACATGAAGCATCAGTATCTCTAATTTCCTAATGAAATTACAGGATTTGGCTACCAGTGACATCAGAAGAAAATCTGATAATTCAAGCTTCCCTTCCAAATCCTATATTAATATATTTAATTATTTTTCTCAATACTGAATGGTAATGCTTTATCAACCCTGCCTGTATTTTTTAAATAAGTTTATTTTTCTAGTAAAACGTAGCTGATAGTACCTGACTAGGAGATAACTAGGCTTTAATTGACAGTAGAGAAAACTAGGTAATACAGATAACTAGACTTTAATTAGTAATAGAGATAATTAGCCTTTAATTGGTAGTAGGTGGGCTGTACATGTGTGTACATCAGACATGCTGGGAACTGCTAACTAATAAACAGGTTCTGCTGCAGGTTCAGGTCAGAAGTTCACAGAAGTGGGAGTTGTTATTACCTAATAAACACTTGAGTCTCTGAGGATGACATGAAGGCCTCAGCCCAGCATTTGATGCAGGTTTCCATGACTACCTTGAAGGGGAAAAAAAAAAAAAAATGAAGCAGATTCTTTTATTTTCCCTGCAATATGTGAAAGGAAAGCAGTGAAATGGTTTGCAGATGTTCCTGTTGTCTCTTTTAGAAGTTCCTTTGAAACTCAGGTGAAGCAGGAGGCAGAAAAACGTCTTCACTTTTTAAACCTGGTGAACGCCAGGTTAAAGTAAATCCAGGTCTTCCAAAAAATGGGAAGAGTGGATTCTAAAGGTTCCCACTTTAGTCAGGCATCTCCCACCCTTCCATTGCATCTAAGGAATTCAAATAATTCAAATTTCTGATGCATTACAGTGACAGAATGCAAGGACACCATTCAGCCTCCACAGCCCTCTCTGGCCTTTCTGGACTGACCTGCAGATGGGAGTGCAAATGGTCAGGAAATAATTTCAAATCCAGCGTCTGCTGATGCCTCTGTCTGGTTTTCTCTTGCCTGTGTTAATGGAGTGACTTTGTTTTTCCAATCCCCACGGCTGAATGTCGCCATGGATGTTTGCTGTCCTCCTCAGCTGAGATCTTATCAGTCCCTCATTATTTGATAAACCATCAGCAACACAGTTGAGTGATTAAATTCAGTGCCAGTGTAGAGAGGGAGGGACTGATCAAGTGAGGATGGGATGGAGGAAAACACATCAGTTTAGGGTGAATTTTATGAACCATTGTTCTCCAAAAATTTTAGAGAGAGATTAATTTTCCTTTTTTATTTTTCAATTGAAGGACTCTCTCCTTTCTAAATGCCGATGTCCTGACAGTATGTCACAGTCAGTACAAAAACTGACTGCCCTTTGATTGTAAAAGTTCTTTTACAAATCAGTTCTTTACAAATCAAAGCAGGACAATGAAAAAATAAATCCAAATCTTAAAACACCTTCCCCTTCCATTGATTTTTCTTTTTTTTTTGTTTGAATTTGACTCCCAAATCCAATACATGTGGATCCACCTGAGGTGAGGGACAACTGTGGAAAGAAAGAGAATGAATATGAAAATTTATCTCCATGCTAAAAACCTCCTGACTGTAGGTGAAATGAGAGCCCTGGGCCCCCAAGGTATCGAGATTTGAGGGAGGGTTGTGTTTTAAACTAGGACAGAACTAATGTCAGGTTGGGAATTCTGTTGACCACCCGCTCAGCTCCTCGGCAGGGAGCAAGCAATGAAGTCACAGTGAAGTCAATCCTGTCTTATGATGTGGATGGATGTTTACCCCAAGACCACAATTCATTCCTCTGCACTTCTATTTGTGAGCTCTCCAAGAGCTGGGGGCTTTTAACAACTCCGGTCACGGATTTTGTTACCTGGACAAATGATCTCTGGGAGTAAATCATCCTGTCATCCAGACTCCTAAAAAGCCCCCAGACAGCTGTGCTTTTAAGAGACTGCTGAGAATCATGAAGGGTGAATCACAGCTTCAGAAATTCAGCAGGCAGGTCCTTTTTCTGGCTCAGAATAATCCATCCTACCTTCTCCTTTGGGTACAATTTAGATCTTTGCATCTACAGAGCCTGTTCCAGTGGTTTCTTTGAGACAAGGTACTGATCACACAGATTTTGGATGTCCTTTGAAATTAAATTAGGTGTCCAAAACCATCCATAACAGCTGCAATGCAGGCAGGGATGGTTAATCTCCAATATGTGCAACTCAGAGTTCAAGTGTTGGGTTCTCTGTTCTCTGTCCATCTCTTTTTCATTCTCTTTACTGTTTCCATATTTTGAATACTTTTCCTCTTTTGTTGCAGAGATCTGAGCCTTGAGGTGAAGACCTCGACCAAAACAACTGCAGAGAGCCTGTGCTTCAGCCCTAATCACAGTGTTAACAAGCAAACCTTGACTGAAGTTAATTAAGAGAGAAGATGGCCCTCACCTGGAAGATCTGCCTCTTCACTCTCGTATTGCTTCCCACGGTAAGCAAAAACGTTTTCATTTGCATTGTTCTGCTATAAATACGTGTTCTGATGGCCAGGAGTGAAGGATCTTCTGCTGACACCAGTTCTGGCTCTTTCCACAGGGGTTTTTCATAGGTTGGGTTAAGGCTTTTCCAACCTTCTTTGTTAATGCAATAGGACTGTGGTCACTGCTCATCCTGAACAGGGCAAGTCCATTCCTTAAGGGCACTTGTTAACTGTTTTTCTCCAAGATTAAAAATAAAATAAAGCTATAATTAAAAAAAAAAAAAAAAAAAAAAAAGGGGCTTCTCTTTCAAATCCATGGGCTTAAGAATATTTTTTTCCAGACAGAGGGGCTAAAATTAGAGATTCCTGTCAGCCCTGTGAATCCTAAACCTTGGGGTATTTCAGGCAGTGCTCTTGGATGCCTCCATTTTCAGAGGAGTGATTTTAAGGAACAATACAAATGGCCCTCCTCTAAAGATACTAAAGGCATTTGAAGTCATTTATCACGTTTCTGATAAATGATAAAATCACATTCTGAAGACATTCTGAAGATGGCAGGGATTAATTTTCCCCAGAAGTCTTGCCATTCCATTAATAACTCATGTCTGGGGACTGTGACTGTTCCTCTCCATTGTCCCCCTACACATTGTGGCTGTGTCTGACCTCACATAACAACCATAAAAACACTGAATAGAGATGATTTTTTTTCCTTTTGTAGCTGTGAGCAACAGCACACAACCCTTATAATAAACTCATCTTGCATTTCAACTCAGCTCTTTGCCAGCCCATTGATCATAAATGTGCTTTTCATCACTTTTTGAGAAACTCTGCTCAGAGGGATCCTGTGACAAACAGCACCAGGATTCAAATCCTCCATCTCATTTTTATTAATAACCTTCCACAATTTCCATGCAAGTGCTTTACAATTGCTTAATAAACAGGTATTCTCATGTTGTTGCACTTTATTGGTCAGATATTTGAAAGCATTCTTGACGTTCATTTTGTTTTATCTTTAAATAACAACAATTTAATATGGTAGTGATGTGACCAGAGCATCTTTTAGGAGTTTTTAAAGAGTTTCTTGCTCGTGTGTACCCATTGTGTCACCTGTCTTTTACAATGTCACCATACAGGGTGACAGAATCTTTACTTTGGCACACAAAAATACAATTTTTTTTTTTTCCTTTTGGGGTCTTATTTAGAGTGGACTCTATTTAACTGAAAATCTGGAATGTAACATAATTCAGCTAAATTCTGTAGAACAGGGTTGGAACTGGCAGTACACCTGTGTTCATCCAAATAATATAATCCCCATACGAAAATCCCAACTAGAAAAGGTTGCTGAAATTCAAATGCTGGTTTGATTTCTTTTCTTTTTCTGTTTTTTTTAAACATACATTAGATTATTTAAACACAGATTTTCAGTGCTCAGCTTGAGGCAGCCAAAAGGTGTCTTCTCCTTTCGAGGCGAGCGGTTTTTAATTAAGGGAAGTAAATGAACATATCTCCAGAGCTTTCATGTGCATGACCTTCCTGGTAGATGGAGAAGGACAGCAAGTTTCCAATTGTTAACGTTTCAGGACATAGCTGGGGTTGCTGAGCTGGATAATTAGTGATCAGCTCCAGCTTTTGGAAAGAACAGCTCTTTAATGAAATACTGTGGAGCAAACCAGAGTTAATGGGAAGAAACGTGCTTTTATAGATGTGGTGTGTCTGCAGTGTTTATGATCTTGTTTGTATGGTTTTATCCCAGTCTTTTGCAGGAATCCAGACAGTAAAGTTAAGCTTTTACCACACATGAATTTGTGTGTTTGCACACCCATTTCTTTAGTCAGTGAAGAGACTTCAGCCAGTGACAGAGACTGTACCATAATTTTTGTGCAGAATTATGCAATTAGTAATTCCTTACATTTCTTTTGGCAGACCAAATTTTGGGAATGATATAATGTTATTTATGATCCTACCCTTGCTGTGGCTCTTCTGCAATGCTGGTAGCATCACATTTCTCCCCATTGGGACACACATTTTCTCTTCAAACCCCCTCTAACGTACCGTGCCAGCCACCTCAAATTGGTGCTTACCTCTCGTGCAGATTTGCAGATTTTCTGCCAAGGGAGTGGATGTGAATTTAAAAAAATTTAAAAAAAAATAAAAAATTAGAATAAATTAGAATGCCATCCTAACCCTCAGAAAGTTCCTGAAAATACCTTCTCTTGTACTGCTTTCCTCTACGTGCATCTGGTGCTCCAGGAATCTCCAGTCACCCTCAAGGAGGGCTCCTGTTCTTGGATGTTGGGATTGATCCTCATTTCGGGGCACATGCCTCCATTCCTCAAAGTGCCTGCAATAGCTCCTGTATCTTCTTGGATGGGCAGGATTTGGATTTACCAACAAGAAAATAAAAGGCCAGGATATATTTAGGAATGTGCATGTTGAGCCAATTCTGTCAAGAGACTAAGGCTGGTTTGGTTTTTCATGTGTTCAACAGGTTGTTCTGTATTGGCCTATTAAGGGTATTCCACTTTATAACTCAGTTGGGACTGAAAACAGCTCCTAGGCCTTTTAGAGGAATTCTTGAGTTTTATTTTTTTTCCCCCCATTTTAAGTGTTTTCCCAGATTTAAATGCCAATGTTGCTATTTTAGCTGATTTTAACCCATTTTTGTTAGCTGGGCCGACTCTTCTCAGTCACTCTCGTTCTTTTCTTCACTTTGGAGGAAGCTCTGAGTGAGCAACCTGATCCAGTGGAAGGGTTTGGGGCTTTTTTTAATTGGATAATATAACAAAAGTCATCATGAAATTATTGAGGAGAAAGGATCCTAAACCATCCTTCCTTTGTCTGGTTCCAAATGCACTTGAGAAACAATGAATTTCATGACTCACAAAGTTGGCTTAGTGTATGAACTGAATTTTAAATGTAACTGCAATGCAGGTGTTTCTAGCTGTCTGGATAATTCAATCACATGTATTTCTTCACCTAATATTTAGAATTTCTTGTGGATGCACTCTTAATATAGTTAAGCTTAAATGGCAGAACGTTCTTTGTGATGTTTCATTAACTGGGAAACACGTTCAGTGACCTCCTCTTTTTTTTAAAAAAAAGAGATTAAAAAGCAAAGGTGTCAGTGATGCCTCTTGTGTACCAGCCTGGAAGTGTGACCCCTGTGTGACAGTGAGATGGGCAAACCCAGATTTGGATGCACAGGCAGCACCTCCCAGAGCAGGGAACGAAACCTCCACCTGATGGTGTTTAAGCAGCTCATGAACAGGTGAACAGAGAAAGCAGATCTGTTTGCTCAGGCCCTGTTTGCTGAAGGGGGTGATATTTCTCAAGCTTTTAAGGGTGTGTAGGGGCTGCAGAGCTGAGAACTCTCTGTCATTCACCTGCAGCTGTCGCTTGCAGTGCCAGGCTACGTTCAAATATCTACATTTCAGCCTCTGTCATTTTTAAAAGGTGAAACAGGGTGTATTCAGGCACAATATTCTACTAGTTCCTCTCTAACCCTGCGATGTTTTCAGTGCATTTCCTGCTGCAGCCCAAATGTGAGGATCCTCAGGCTCCAGCAGAGGTGTCTGGGTCGGTCCCTGCTCCTTAAGGAGAATATTTTTTCCATGCAGGACTTAATGAGAGAGCTTTTAATGAGTTTATCTGCCTGGTGATTTGTAGCACCTCATAACCCCATCAGAGAAGTCAAGTTCTCTGTAGGACTGCAGGTGTCTCTAACACAGTGCACAGTCACATGGAACTTCCCTGTTATTTATGTAATGAAAATATAAATATGTACAAACATAGTCAGGGAACTGCTGGGAATGTTCTCCGTAGGAGATAAAAACTCAGCTAACCAAGACATTAATTCTGCCAGAGCTTTTCCTTTTTAATATGAGGAGCAATCAGCAGAATATTTCAACCTCTTAAAGGCCTTGTTTAAAATAGAAAAACACAGTTTCAGAATGTTTAATAGTGGGTAAGTTGGATTCAAAGAGAAGGCTCAGAGTTTTTGGTGTATCACAAAAAGCATCTGAGACAATCAAGGTCACAGAACCTCAGGGTCCTGATACCCCCCAACTTCAAGTGCATTTCAGAGGCACAAAAATTCGGATCTGAGGTTCCAGATGGTTGTTATCCTCTCAGCTGGGTGGGATGGGTATTACAGAGAGGGAGATCCCTCGGGATGAGATCTCCACCTCAAACATCTACAAGTCTATGTGGTTTTTTTTCTGAGAAAGCTCAGCGTGTTTGCACTCCTGTCCAAGGTGCCTGAAGGTGATGGGAGACCTTGATGTTGTGTTGGTGCTCTGTGGGACTTGTAATCTCACACTGGGCACATCAGGTGTCAGCTGTGGTTGTTGCAGGAGATAAAGAAAGACACCTGCTTAAAATGTTTTTCATAGAATCACAGAATCACAGAATGGCTGGGGTTGGAAGGGACCTTGAAGACCATCTCATTCCAACCCTCTGTCATGGGCAGGAACACCTTCCACTAGCCCAGGTTGCTCACAGAGCTCCATCCAAAACTGGTCTGGAAAGTTTCTGAGCTTATTAAACACAAAAGGTGAACGACAGCAAAAAAATACTCCACCCTAGAAATACAAGATTCTACCAACACGTGGTTCTCTGCACAAACCTGCAACTTTCCTTCTTCAGGCAGGCAAGATATGTAGGTTTTAGGAATGCAAGGCAGCAGGTGACAAAGCAGAAAATAGTTGCCCTGCATTCTGTGAATGTGTTCACCTTTTTGCCCTCTGGTAGTAGCACTAATTTCTGTGACAGGCCAATAACATGATGACAGCACTGATTTAAGGACATTATTATGATTTATTTTTTTTTTCCCCCTGCTGGTTTTGTATTCATGAGCTTGGAGGAGGGTTGGACGAGCAGGAAAATAACAAACTGGGAAATAAAAAGATTTCTCTATAAAGGAACCTGTTAAAAAAAAAAAAAAAAAGTGACATTAGAATCAGTGATTTTTTTCCTGTTGCTCAGCTATTAAGATCCAGCTCCTGGAGGGATAT